TCACTGCTCAAAGTAGTTTCAACAGAAATGGTGAGTTTGGTCATTTTCTAATAAAAGAGGACCCTAATGCCAAAACAAATTAGTTCCCTTTCTTTTTCTTATAAGCAAAATATTCACTTTATATTTTGGTAAGTTTAACAGCAGAATTTTTTTTACACAAGTTTAATATTAAAATTTTGGCAGATAGATTGATTAGGATGACCCTAAATTTATTTTGAGTTTTTGGGATTCATGTCTATCTTTATTACTATGCACTCTTATATAGCGGCAATTCAAATCTTAACCCAACCTTTTTTTAATTAGTCTCTGTTCAAACATGAGAAGATAACTCTGTCGGTATTTTTCTTCCTGTTTTTTTTTTTTTTCGTTACCCTATTATTCTTAATTTGCTTTCCACCTACTTGCCAATGAGGTAAATAAGATTTCTTCTTACTTTGAACTCACTAGAGTTTTTTTTTTTTTGTGCTCAATTGCAAATTTGCTTTTTAACATTTTCCTTTTTGGTAAAGTGAGAATTTTTGTAGTTTTTCAAAATCTTATTTCTTTCCTCCTAATGTATTTACCAGTAAATCTAAGGAGAAAGTGTTTCATGCCTTAATTGTTAGAAGAAGTTAACTGTCTGTCATTTGTGCTATACACATGTCTTATATATACTTTATTAACATATAAAAGTTCCTTTCCCTTGTATTTTGACTACTTTTCATATTTTTTGCTATTGCTGTAAGATGTATTATTGTGATATTCTTTGAATGTTTGCATGTTTGTAAATGATATTTTGTATCTGCACATTTTCTTTGTTTTAACTATTTGCAGTTTTCACAGCTGCAATAGTATGTTTTGACAAATAAAAGCCTTAGACATACTTCATGCAGTTGTTAGTTCTCTCAAACAAGTCAGACAAAAAAGTGAAAGCAATTACACGATCAAGTTTTCAGAAATTCAAGAAGGTACTACTTCACCCCCCCATAACCTGCTGATGGGCATCCTCATACAATTAGTAGGTAGCTAACATATCTCTCTCTCTCTCTCTGTATATATATATATATATATATATATATATATATATATATATATATATATATATATCCAAACAAGTTTGATTTAAAAGAACTGACAACATCTGTCTGTTTAATTTTTTACTGTATTTTCCAATTTTTGGATAAAGTATTGATTATTGTGCTCCAAGTTGTGGATAAAATGTCCAAAGTTCATATTTTGTTATTTTTGTTCAAGTAATTTTGACTTTCACAGTCATTATTGTTATAACATGCATTTGGTTGTGAGAGGAAAGGAACAACAAGGATTAGGCTTTTAAACAACATGTTTTTGTTTAATATACATATGTTGAGAAATTGGAAAAAATGTTGATTTTGGTTGCTGATCATCAGGAAGGCAATTAGGCGTAAGGGTAGTGCCGAGGGTTGACCGATTTCTTCGGTTGGGTCAACTGATGTCAGAGGTTATATTCATTGGTTGATTAATAAAGGTTACAGTGGTGGGCCAATTCATGGTGGGGTGTGTTGGTTGCTGAGGTGATGGCAGTGGGGATGCAGGATTGGTGTATTTGGTAGGCCTGTGGTGGAATATTTAATTGTGATGGAATGCCTATAGCAAGATTGCCAGGGTGACGGCAATGACAAGGGATTAGGTGTAGCTGGTTGGCCTGTGATGGAATGTTCCACTATTGAGGATCAATGAAACATAGCTGCATTGATGACTGCAAGGGTATGCCTGTAGTGAATTGGGTTGCTGAGGTGACAGTGGTGACCACAAAGAATGCTTCTAGCTGGGTGATGACAATGTCAAAGTGTTATAAATCATGGCAGTTGTATCAGGTAGTATCAAAGCTGGTCTCTTTTGGATTCCATATGTGATATTATAAATCACATTGGTGGGTATCAGGAGCCTGGTGGTGTCAATGCTGGATTGTCAGCTGCATTCTGTATGTGGAAAGTTGGATGTTATTAGTCAAGCCTGGGAGTGGTAACAGTTGTGTTGAGAGAAGCGGTCATGGCAGTGACAGCGACACTGGCCTGCATGTCAGCAGGTGGTCTTATGGCCAGTGACTGCTGTAGGTCATCATGAGAGGCTTGCTTTTAAGCAGATCTGGCATTCCCTAGGGGCATCTTTTTTATGGTGGGAACACTCATGATCGGCCACTGTATCACTTTCATTGTTGTGGCTTGCTTCATGGACTGGACATGATGCTTAGAGCCTATGTGCAGAAAACAACTTTTTTCATTTTTTCTGCCCTGACATTCACATCCAGCTAACATGCAGAATGAATCAGAAATAGATCTAATTACATTGGAGTATAAGAGCCAATAGGGTGACAGATTTCTTTTGCATCTTGGTTTTCTTTGGGAAGCTGGTTATTTGAAATGATCTAGTGTGATGTCATGTGTAATGGCTATTGGGAACAAGACCACAAAAAAGATTGTGATTTATTTATTAATTTAATTTAAATTTTTAGTTTTATTTTACTTTTTTATTATTATAATAAAATATATGTACACATTAGTTATATTATATGCACATTATCATATGAATTTTGGACAGTTTATCCACAACTCTAAGCACAATACTCAACACCTTATTTTATATTACAATCAATATATAAACTGACCCCTCACTTTGTGGCCACTATAGTTTCTATACATTTTTATTCTAAAGAATGTAAATAAATCTGAAAGACATCCCTATGCAGTGAATCAGTATTTCATTTATTCATTGATTCTTTTTCTACAGCTTATCAACACTTTGCAGGTTATTTAAAGTTAGGATTTTTAAGATAATAATGATTTAGTGATACAAGTCTTACTAATTAACCCATAGCTGCAGGGGAGAAGAGGTAGATTCCTAACTTTCCCAATGGTATTTGTGTGTAAGTGAATATAACAAATCCAACTGAAATTGGAACTCAGCTCTCTGATTAATGATTCTGAGCCATTTTCCCTTACACCACCCACCCACCCATCCAACCTTACAGCACCTGGTATTCCTAATCTAGATACTGAATAGGCTCAACATTGCTTAACTTTGGTGATCATATGGGAACAGGTGTTTCAATGCTATAGAGACCATAAGTCATAAGACAATAGGGAGAAAATTAAAATATTATTAATGTACGCCATCCCATTTTTAGGGAAATTGAACACTAATGGATTATAGGTAGAAACCTGTAATTAGCAGGTATCCGTTTATCTTGCAAGATAAAGGTAGCATCCTATTTGGTCAAAATTAAATCCTTTGATGGTGACTGCTTTCACTGGTTTCCAGACTTCATGAATTTAAGCATTCTACAAGGCTGGCATCTCGCTCTCATCCTTTCACTGTCAAAACTCTTAAATGTAGTTGTCTCTTCTACTCCAATAGCTTCAAGTCTCATACTTCTCGCCTGTGGAACTCCCTCCCCTTTTCCTGTTTTCCTGAGAGCTATAATCTCCAACTATTCAAATGTAATGTCAAATGACATCTCCAGACGCCTTGATCTATCCCCTATCCTTCTCTTCCCCCTTTCCTCTGTCACTCCTCCTTGCTCTCACTCCAGCACTCTGTAGCCCCTTGCGTCCTAGTGGCTTCCCGCCTTGCTTGGGGTGAAATGCTTAAAAAAAAACAAAAAAAACTTGGAGTGACCTCTCCAGGGTGAAAACCTGGGCAATGATATATGGAGACCATGTGCTACTCAGACTATAAGATCCCCCTCTCATCCATAGCGACATGGTACAAAGGAATACAGGTCATTGCATTTGTGGATGGCTTGGCTACAGGAATTGCCTGACTTCTTTTGAGGTTTCACTCCAGGTTTTCTCTCTGGATTTACTTCCATAACCTTTTCCATGTATGGATATGACTGCAAGGCAGCAAAGGTTTAAAATCAGGATTTTCCTATCCCTAGATGGACTGTCTTCCTGGGCTCCATCTACCCAAAACAACTGTTTATGAGGCACCAGTTTCCACCTTTGTCCATTCTCCAGTGTGGTACAAATTGAAGCAAACCTTGTCACATCAGTGGAATTTCACATTAACTAATAGTAAGACAAAGTTGCCTATCATTAGCTGATGTGAAAATCCATTTTAATAGACAGAAAAATTTAAAAAACACAAGAAGTTATAGATATAAAAATATGTTGCAAATATTTTAGATTATATATTATGGTATATCCATAAACAACTTCAAGGAAGGATAAATTTTGTATTTCAATGATAAAAGACATTTCAAAATAATGTTTAAACCAAAGCTATAATACTAATCGTGATATTAGTCTATGTTAATCCAAATTAAGATTTATATCACTATTATCTATGACTGAAAAAAAAATGAACCAAATACTGATTTCATTGGTTTTGTCAAAACAAAATAACTTTGATGAATCTGTCTGACATTTGATTTTCACAGGCTAATGAAAAAAATCTCAAATAACAAAGACCACTCTTTTTTCTCTTAAGAAAAGGGCGGCTTTAACCACAAACAAAAAAGGGATTCTGAATATATTCATACCTCAGAATATTCTCTTCAAAACATCTGTCACTTGGAATGAATAATGGTATAAGTTGTAATCCACAGCACCATATTATTTCTTCCACCAATGTGATTAGTTAATGATAAAAGAGTTAGTTTGTCATGGCTAGAGTTACATCCCTTGTGACCTTATTCCTATCTATTTGTCATGGCATACAAGCCAGCCATCTTGAAGATGGTCTTGTCAGTACATCATGGCAACTGTTCAACATTGGTTTGTTTGTGATTTAAATTTATTGCCCTGTCTTTCTCCTATTGCAATGAACATGCAAGAAGATGCTCATGTTTGAAAATAAGAAAAGCATTCAGATCAGTGTACAAATTCTGCTGTATTGCTTTCATATATTAAGAAAACTGAGCAACAGTTGTAGATGGTTTCAGTTTTGAAGGAAGTATTTTTTATCCTTATGTGGTTGGGGGGGATAGTGTAAAAAAGAAAGGAGTATAAATGAACAACAACATTTGAATTAAAAAATGATTAGGGAAGAACAAATGAGAAAGGTGGTTTGAGTAAGATTACAATTATAAGGAAGAACAGTATAAAACAAAGAAATGACAAAATAAGAGTAAGAAGACAATATAAAGTTAAGAAGAAGAAGAAGAAAGTATAAGATGAGAAAGAAGAAATCTGTATTAGGTGAGGATGGAGAAAATATAAGATGAAAAAGATAACAAGGTGAAGAGGAAGTTTGTAGAGATCAGTTTCAATCCAATGTAATACTTCTTCATCTGTGATTTCAATTTTTTTCTTCTTTTCCTTATTGAACTGTAACCTTGACTTCACATAAACATGTATTTCCTTTTATGTACTCAAGCCCAAAATTATAAGCCATTAATTTTATATCCCACCTTAGAATTCTGGAAGACGTAACTATTGGTAACTCCTTTCTAGGATTAAAAGTAAAGTCTAGAGGTTTATCGTCCAACTTTAATAGTACCTTCTTATCTCATAAAAATTGTCAAACTCTCTGCTCCAGACAATGACCAATGCCTCTTTTACAATATTTGAATAATTTGTTTCTGCTGGCATCAATTTCCTATACTATTTTCTTTTTAACTTTGCATACAGACTGAAAATGATTTTTTTCTACATTTACAGCAATTTTTTTAAAAGTGCAGCACTTTTTCCTGTCAATTTCAATTTCGCAGTATTTGCATTTCTTGCATTTCTTTTTTTTACTGTAGATTTCAACATTGACATTAGTAGAATTATAATTTTAATCAATTCCAGTTGTACAACTTCCACACATGCAGTTAGAGACAAATTATTCAATTGTAATTATTCCAATATCATGAGATATATCAGCCATACCTTGAATTATAATTGAAATTGTAAATGAATCAATTTGTCATAGAGTTCCCAGTTTCTCAAACTCACAGAATCTGCTAGTATCTCTTAATCTATGGAGATATTGTATAATTGATTCATCTTGTTACTGTTTAATGGACAGAAACTTGATTCTTTCTACTATGATAAGTTTCTTTTTAGGTTGTAAATTTCTTTTTATAATTTCAAAAATTTCAAATTCTCCATTTCTTTGCAGTATGCCATAACAGAAATTTTCATTATAGCTTCACAACCTACCAAAGCTACGAAGTGGTCATTTTTTTTCATTTTCTCCCCTCCTACCTTGCTGGATTTCAATTTTTTAGCTCTTGTCTAGGCTTGAAAACTCCGGATCAAAGTCTCAACAAACTCAGGTTTATTCAAGTGACTTAAACATCCTATTTGTAATGCTATATTGTTGTATAACCAGCATATGCAAATAGGCAAAATCCTATTTGCTAATCCCACTAAAAAGACGTGTCCTGGGCATGACTATAAACTACATCCGCATCCTGGGTAAGACAATAAACTATGTCCAACAGCCTGTCCAGTGTATGATGATAAACTATATCCGCATCCTGGGTAAGACGACAAACTACGTCCAACAGCAAGGCCTCTGGTCAGGAGGTTTTGAGGAGTGTGGAACCACCTCTTAATTGTTGATGTTCCCAGGTCCACCCTGATTCGGGGTGGTAGTACCTGTTAGGGTTGCAGGTATGGACAAATAGTTAGACCCCAAGCAAAACACTATGAAAGTGTAAAAATAGGTTTTAATACCAGAAATACTATGTAAAAAAAATTATTACCAGCAATACATTTTTGAAAAACATTACCAGCAATACATTTTTTTAAAAAATATTACCATCGAAGGAAAATTCTCACCAGAAATAGATTTTTGAAGGAAAAAATATTACCCACAATGAAAATTTTGATGGCATAAAATAAAACAAACCAAACCCACTAAAAAGACAAAGAAGAAGAAAACAAACAAAAAAGGAAACGGAAGGAAGGAAAGGATAATGAAAAATTAAGAAATAAGAAAAGAGAGGAAGCAATAGAAAACAATTAGAAGACAACCAAAAGGAGAAAATAGAAGAAAACTATGAAAAAGAAAAGAGAAGAAGAAAAAAGATGAGAAGAAGAATACAACCAGAATAAGAAAATAGAAGAGAAGAGAAAAAGAAGGAAACTGGTAAAGAAAAAAGAAAAGAGAAAACAATAAAGTAAGAAGGAATTTGAAGATGATAACAAAATCAGAAGAAAAAGAAAATAAAAGAAGAAAACAAAAAAGAAAACAGAAGAGAATGAAAAAAAAAGTTATTGAAGAAAAAAATCATGTTAAATTATCTCATAATAAAGCAGAACATTGGAATACCATCTTGGGTTCTTCATGGCATTTCTGCAAGTAAAAATAATTATTTATCAGAAGTTGTCATCCAATGTTAAGAATAGTTAAAAGAAAAAAAGGTGTTACAGTCAACGAGATAAACAAGCAAAAATGGTAGACAAAAAGATAATGTGAAAAAAGAATATATCAAGAAAAATGGAAAGTAAAAAAATTAAATTGAAAAAAAAAAACTGATATAAAGAATCAGGCAGATGAGAAAAAAATGTTTGAAGAACTGATCTAGAATAAAGAATAACTGAAAGGAAAAGTTGACTACAGATAGTATAAAATCATTTGTTATCACTGTTGTAATTTATTAAACTTGTATGGAATTTGCAGGTATTAAAATGGATGCTAAACATTCCAATATAAGTATTACTATATTGTGATCATTTGCTCCTCCAATGTTCCTTTAGATTTCAGTGTCATACTTTTCATTCTCTGTTAGCGCACTTCCCATGGCAAAAACTTCCCTTCCAAAACTAAGCAAAATATTAAAAAACTGAAAAAAAAATCATTATAAACAAAGGAAAGAGTACCAAACTGTTATGCAATATCATTCCTCTTCTGTAGCAGTGAATGTTGTACAATCTCCTCAGATATGAAAAAGAGACTTGAGTTAACAGAAATGTGGTTCTTTTGGATGATAATGATAATAAAATGAGCCAAAAATAAGAATAATAAAGTTTAAAGGAAAATGGAAACAAAAAACATGCTAATATTTAGAATTGAAAATAATTAAAATTTCTAGGATACTTAATGAGGAAAGAGAGCTTGGAGAATGTGACACTCAGAGGATATACTGAAAGTAGGAAGGACAGCGGAAAGCAGTTAGTAACAACTAAAGACAACATTGTTTAATTGATTCATTTTTTACAGTTTATCAACTCTTTGCAGGTTATTTAAAGCCAGAAAATGTTTTCATTGTAAGAATTTTACTGTTGAAGATAATGGTTTAGTGATACAAGTCTTACCAATTAACCCATAGCTGGGGGAAAAGAGGTAGATTCATACCTCTCCCAAGAGTATTTACATGTAAGTGAATATAACAAACTCAATGGGAATTGGAACTCGGCTGTCCAATTAACAATTCCAAGCCATTATCTATTACACCAGTCACACATCCAAGCTTACAGCACCTGGTATTCCCAAGCAGTCACCCATCTAGGTACTGACCTGGCTTGATGTTGCTTAACAATAAGAACAGTCAAAGGAAGAGAAAAAAAAGCTTACTAAGAGCTACAAAGGATATGAAATTGTGGAGAGTCATGATTGCACATGTCCTGAAAGGACACAGCATATAGAACAATACCTGTGATATAGCATTTATTCAGGTGTGACAACAGAAAGGAATATGTATACTATATTTGAAAAACACTTTATCTACATATTTACTGATCTTACAATCAATAATACTTTGTTCAGGCAGTGAAATAAACACATATATTGAAAGAAGTGGTGTAATGATTAGCAAGAGTGTCTTGATAGAACAATTATGACTGTGTAGTGAGTTAGATCCTCACTGGGTGCCCCATACTTTCAGCCTTGTGCCACATCTAAACTACGCTTGGAAAATCACTATATTGAAAGAAATTGAAAAGAGAAATGTATTATGGTCTTACTTGGGAGTTAGCAGGTTCATGCCTGGTGCCAGTAAGTTTGTTTTGGCCAAAAAATTGAGAGAATATGGAAGGTTGGTCGAGATACGTCTAGGATGTGTGGGTGGTATAATGGATAGTGACTCAGAATGCAAAATCAGTGAGCCAAGTTAGAATTCTTGTTTACTACATTACATTCACGTACACACATATACCACTGGAAAAAGTATATATCCATCACTTCTCCACCCAGCTATCAGGCAAATAGTAGGGTGGATTGAACTCTTATTGTTTACCTTTAACCCAGTGCTAGATGACAAAGGCCATCCTCTTCCCATCTTCCCTCATCTCACTGAGCACAATCTCAGTAATATTTTATTACAGTCTGGGAAGTCTCAAGTCTTATCAAAAGTCTTGACCCTAAGAAAGCGACCAGTCCAAAAAAAATCCCAGTGGTTGTTTTTGAGAATATTAATCTCAAGCTTTAGCAAAATAATTTAACCACTTCTTGAAGAAGAAATCCTTCACAAGTCTGTGGAAGATGTCAAGTGTATGCCTTGTGTTCAAGAATGTGAGTGAGTGCTCATCCACTGCTTAGTATAAACTCATCTGCCTTCTCAGTATCATTAACAAACTTTTTTAAGCTATAATCAACAAGAAAAGACAAACAACCACTTGAGCAACAAGCAGTATAGATTTTGATCAGCTCATTCTACTGGTATCCTAACAGCCATTACTCACAAAATCAGTGAGGCACTAGACAACAAATACATATCAAGGATGATTGCATTAGATATTTCAAAGGCCTTTGACAATGTGTGGCATAGAGGGTTTCTACACAAGCTCTCTTGCTATGGACTCACTGGAAGAGTCTTCTCAAATATTAAGTTCTTCATAATGGGTAGGTTCTTGAAGGTAGTTGTTAATGGCTAGTCCTCCAAGGCCTGAGTGATCATTACAGAAATCAATACAGGCATACCCACAACCTTATTTCTACTTTATATAAATGATCTGCCTCAGAGTCTACTCCAATCATTTGTGAATATCTATGCTGATGATACAATAGTATATGGGTGCACCTCCCAAAAGTCTAGATGACCAGAGCTGGGCCGCTGATCTCTCCTCTGACCTTGCTCATTGTGGTAAAAACTGGCTCATCACATTCAATGCCTACAAAAACTAGTGATGTTCAATCATCACTGAGCAGACCCTGAATTTTCATTTATTGCAATGAATGGGTGCTCTCTCAGGAAGGCCCCATGTCTTGATCACCTATTGGGATTTAATCTTAAACCAGACCTTAAGTGGAACTCATACATGTTGGTTCATATCACCAAAGATGCTGGAGAAATGGTCAGTTCTCTGTCCCATTCCATTAAGTATCTGACTTCTCCCACTATCCTCTACCTTTAAAAACACACACACACACACACACACACACACACACACACAGACAGACAGACAGACAGACACACACACACACACACACATGCGCACACACACCAGAAGATGCAATGGATATATTTTCATCTAAATTACTTGATTTGCAGGCATGTTTATATGGACTTTTGTCCTTGTTTTGGTATAAGAAACTTGCCCCCAAAGTTTTTTTCATTGTTAGTGACTCTTCAGGCTGTTTGTAAAAAATCATAAAATTTTCTTGAAGTACAGTGCTGTTCGATAAAAGTGATTCACCTGATTTTTTTTTACTAAAAATATTTTTTGTCTATTGTTTTTGGGGTTAAAGTAATTTTTAATCTTACTTATATAAAGACCCCTTCCTGACCACCTAGGATAAAAAGTTTATTCACCCTAAGATATTCTACTGATAATTATAAATTTGGAAATTCAGGAAAAAACTCTGTGCAAAAAAAATGTGACTCAGATATCGCATTCTAATGATTAAACTGGTAAATTTAAAGAGCTTTTGACAAAATATTGAAAACTATTTTACAATACACTCAGAACAATATTCTAGAGAATTCTAGAACAGCTTAAATTAAATTTCAGAAAGCCTCATACAGTATAAAAACAGCTTGAAATAGCCACTCAGAACCATTTAAGGCATCTATTATTGCCCTCTCAAAAGCAAGCAAGTCTATGAAAGAAATTGCAGAAATTGCTATAACCTCACAATCAACTGTCTCTCAAGTGCTTAGGGCACATAATGATGCCACTCCTGCTCTAAGCAAGGAAACAAGGGGACAAAAGAAAAAGATTGATGATAGGCAGGGTAATCAAGAGAGAAGTTGCGAAGAATAGGACTATAACTAGCCAAGAAATTGCAGACAGTCTAAGCATAGAGCAAGGTGTTAGTCTTGCCTCTTCAACAGTCCCTTGGTGGCTGTTAGAATAAGGCTACAAATCTTGTACACGAAGATTTAAGCCACTAATAAGAAAAGCCAACAAAGCCAAGAGACTTGAATGGGCTCACTCTTACAAAGATTTCACCGAAGAAGACTGGAAGAATGTTCTCTCCTCTGATGAAACAAAAGTTGAGGTAAATTCAAAGGATAAGTGATCTAAAATCCGAAGAAGCTTTGAAAGCTCTTTGAATTTAGCAGTAAGTTCTGTCAAGCATCTGTTCAGTATAATGTTCTGGGGATGCTTTTCCTTTCATAGAAGTGGTTTCTTAAAACCTATTGAAAAGACCCTCAGGAGTGAGCAGTACAAGAGAATTTTAGAGTCTTGTCTGCTCCCTTCTGCTGAAAGGGTCTAAATTTATGCAGGATAATGCTCCCTGTCACAAATCAAAATTGATGAAGGAATACTTTGATGAGAAGCAGGTGAGTGTTATGACATGGCTGCCCCAATCTCCTGACCTCAACCCCATAGAAAACTTATGGAGCATTATAAAGTACAGGCTCTCGAGAAGGCAGTTGAGCAACAAAGAGGATTTGATTGTGGATTTCATATCCGAATGGAATTCAATGCTTGGAGATGAGATTTGCCAGAACCTAATCAAGTCAATGCCAAAAAGGGTTGAAAAGGTTATTCAAAATAAAGGAGGACCCATAGATTATTAAATATTTCAAACTATATAACCTATTATAAATAAATTATACCTCTATTATTCTTTATTTAAAGCTGTTCAGTTATGTTTCTATTGATTACTAGTTGCAGGAAATGAGTAAGTAACTTTTTTTGCACAGAATTTCCCCTAAATCTCATTTATATCCAAAATTATAATTATCAATAGAATAC